AGACGTACTAATAATATTTGAACACTAACAATTCTAATTTATTTCTTACACTTTTACTATTCAATATAACGTTCTATATTCAACTAATTACTATTTATCTTCACTGTTCATATATCTACTGATTCTGATGGCTCTCCTCCACCAATTTATATACAAATTGGTGGTCTAGAATGCTCCCCCACCAAAATTGCCAGTATGTACCAGAAACGTTATCACGTTCTAGAAATAGTATCTCGTTGACTCTGGAATGTTCGCGAAAGTGTATCCACCATAGTCGTCCCATAGGTTTGGTCTTAAGGGGTTTAATTATGTATAATAATCGGACAAGTTGAGCCTCAAAGGCCAAATAAGACAGAGAGGGACTTGTAGGGTTAGAGAATGACTGAATAATGAAATGGCTCACATAACACTATTATATAATAAATAATAAATATTCCAAGAATTTTAGTAAACAAATTTTTTTTTTTAGATTTGTTTAAGGGTTTATAATGTAACATTTTATTAACAATGTGACAATGTAACTTTAGTATTTGTTTTGCTTATACTAGATCATATTGTGCGTTTTACTTTGTTTTAAGACTTAAGATTCAAATGTCACTTCCGATTTGACCGTAAATAAGATCATCCTGTATTTCTAGTAATATTCTTATAAAAATAAAATTTCGCTAGCAACTATGCTTCTTTACTTCTTATTTATCTACTAAAAAGGGCTAAAAACCACCTGTAGTAAATATTCTTATAAAACTACTTTTTAAAAACAAAATTTCGTTAGCAACAATGCCTGTTTACTTCTTATTTAAATTAAATGTTAAAAATTTTGCCATTTTGTAAATTTATGTATTATGAAATCTGTTTTCTGAAATATTTGATGCTTAATATTTATTGAAACCCCTTAATGCGGATCTGAAGTATTCATCCCTAAAGATCATGGCGGCTTTATGTCAATCCGCTAATAAATATTTACCGCTGAAAATGAATATATTTCTTATTTTTCATAACACTGGCACTTATATTATTTGTATATACAATTTTTTACGATACATCGTTGGCATTTTCAACTTGAATAACTAAAACACTTTAAATTGCTAATTACACCAACAATTAATTCAAAAAACGGCAATCCATGATGATTCACCCACTGAGCGTAGAATAGAAATGTCGGAGCAGTTCGGGTAGCGTCGTGGAAACAATGATTTTTAATTGGTGGGTTACTTAAGGTTGGAATAGACAACATGCGCTTTGTGCAATGTTACATCTCCGGTCTCTTTAATCTAAGGTCTAAGGCCTTATTTCCGTTTGTTCATCCGAAAGAAATAAGTTATTAACAAAATAAAGTATAAGTACTTTAGGAAGTATAAACAATTATTAACCTGAGAACATCTAATTGCAACTTATTAAAACTAACTAAGACTGCAATCGTTTTTTCAGACCTTATTTTCGTTTGTCCATCCAACAGAAATTAGTTATTAAAAAATAAAACATGAATAATTTAATATAAATAAACTAGTCACAACGAAATAGGTATCACTTATTTTAATTGTTATAACTCCAAAAAGAGAGGAGATACCTTAAATTTTGTGTTCTTATAATTTAGGTATGTGACTTTAAGAGTGTGCAAGTTTTAATTTTTAAACATTTTCGTACATTTAATAAAGTTAAAATAAAGCAAATTGATAACAACACTTGTTTATTAATATCAAAAAATTTCAAAATAAACAAAAACTAATAATGTGTATGCCCTCCTTTGGCTCTTAAAACTTCGACACAACGTCTAAGCATAGATTCTATTAGTTGACGAATCGTTCCTTGAAGAATATTGTTCCATTCATCCTGAAGTTGTACTGCTAACACCTGTAGATTATTTGGCTGTTCTCGATCCCGCAATCTTCTTCCCATGATGCTCCAAAGATGTTCACTGGGGTTTAAGTCAGGGCTGTTGGCTGGCCATTCCATTACAGCAATATTTTCCTCTTCAATAAAGTTTTGAACAATTCTTGCAGTGTGGGGCTTTGCATTATCTTGTAAAACAAAATTAGGGCCTTCTAGATGAGCCAGTGGAACGACAATAGGGGTTAATATCTCATCGATATAACGCCTAGCTGTTAGAGTGCCATTTAAAAAAAAAAGCATGTACGCCCGGTCAATTGAATACCTCCCCAAACCATTACAGAACCACCGCCAAAAGCTCTTACAAGTTTATTCTTGCTACGATAAGCTAGTGTTAAATGAGGAACAATAGCTTGACTTCTTGAGTGTAGTTGGGATTCATGAAGTCTGTTACGTGTAGTCTGTAGAGATATGCGTCTACCAGTGGCCTGAAAATGTAAGTTTCTTATCTGTGTAGCTGTTCTTGTCCTATTTTGTAGGGATAATCGTACAATTTGGCGGTCCTGTCGGGGCGTAGTTATTCTTTCTCGTGGTGTATATGGTCTTCTACGGATAATACCTATGTTTTGAAATCTATTCCACATTCGGCGAATCGTTGGTTGACTTGTTTGAAGCAAGCGGGCTACGTATCTCTGCGAACGTCCTTCTTGTAATAGTGTAACATCTCTTGCTACTTCAATTTCACTTAGATGCCTTCTTTGTACAATAGGCCTTCCAAGAACATCGCTATTCATAATTTCAAGTCAATTGTTAATGTTACAAACAATTTAATTGGTGTACAAAGTAAAACTCCTCATAAAAAAGTTTTGTTTTTTATATTGAAAATGTGCATTTAGGTGTGCTTGTTATTTGTATAAATTTTAATGGAAAATACAGGGGACATTTAAAAAGAATTAGATAATTAATTCAGTAATAGCAATTTATTAAAATTAACCACTGCAATCGTTTGTCCACACATTATTTTCGTTTGTTCTGGCCTTATTTTCATTTGTCCACCAAACATAAATTAAAAAATAGGATTTAGTGCTGGAAAGACGAGATTTTTGCGTTTTCGGGCTCACGGCGTTGGAAACTATCAGTAATAATTAATCATGTGAACGAAGTTTCAACCTTTGCAGAAATTATAAAAAAAGACACTCAACAATGGAAAACGGTCAAAATTTTAAATTCAAATATTCAAACACTGTTATTAACGGTCATTCGACGAGAATGTAGTCTCTCATTTCTTTTTTTATTTAGCTTCCGGATATTTACAAATTAAAATGATGGTTGTTTGTTTGTAGAGCGTTAACCTAGTCACACAACCGTGAAATGTGAGCGAAGGTTTGTATATTAAAATAAAAAAAAATCAAAACAGATATACAAAGTGAAAGTAGCATACTTTTTACGCTTCAGAATTCAGAACAACTGATGTGCGATGTGTGAAATTAATCGTAATCGGTATTTTATCTCAGCATATGTCGTTTGACCGGATTTAACCATAGCAAACACGGATTGGTTAGGAAATATTGTTTCTATTTTTAATGTGAAAATAACTAGAAAACTTCTTAAAACTATTTATAAAATTTTAAAATAATCGTTAAATATTGCATTAAGTGAAGGCTATTTTTAAAATATTTTACGCCGAATACTACAATATAATAATTGAGACAAAATTGAAAGTAGAATGATTTGTCAAAGCATTTAAATTTTGTTATGGGAGTTACATGGTGCTAAATCTAGTCAGTGTTAGTGTGGTACATGGGAATTGGTTTTAATTTACAAATTTTAGGCATTATGCTAGCAGAAACATTTTTTCTCTGCCTTTATAAAGAATTAAATCTCTGAATATTTTGTGCATCAACCTGCTAAAACAGAACCAACAAGTCACAATGTATTTCATTAGGGTAAGAGAAAAAAATACAACCAACGTTGCCAAAGAATACGTAAGAAATCATTAACATTTTACAAGATTTGCAGTGTCAACCTGATAAACAAGTCACTTATTGCATTTTATTCGCGCTTTTATAGGCCAATCATTAAATATAATCAATTCACATTAATTAAAAAAAGTTTCCAAACTTTGTTGGGATATTTATTAAATTGAAATAATTATAAATTTAATTTTGCAACTTTTTCTGTTGTCCGAAACATATTAATAACTGCAAAAAATGTATTATAATGTAACGATATTCTAATTTATTTATAGTTTATTTATTTAAAACACACTATTTACAATTTATTTATAACGTACTATTTAATTTGTATAATACTTAGACACTAACTAACAATTCTAATTTATTTATTACGCTTTAACTTTTCATTCCAATACTCTAAACTAAATTGTGCGCCGATGAGTCGGCTATTTATACCAAGTCCAACTCTGTTACGAGAAGTCTCTAGGCGCTCCCGAAAATTCCATCTTTGATTCAACGGCACACATCACCCGTTTTGGCTGTTTCTCGAACGGCATTCCTAGAAGATTGCGTCGTTTCGAGCATGAGTCGGGTGGCCAGCTGAAGGTCGCTTGCTTTAGAGTTTAGACAGAGAAGGCTTACGAATTTTCATGACAATAACTTTCTAAAAACAATTGCGGTAAAGAGTACTTTGCCGTACATTTGATGTAGGTAAAGAAATTACCTAATTATTGTTTTCAAAGATTAAACTGATTTGCACAAAAGTATGAGAAGTTATACTTTGATTTGAATATTTTACATTTTTGGCCACTGGAAGGAGCTACGAAGATTTAAAGTTTACAACCATCATCTCCGCTCAAGCGTTGGGCAGAATAATACCCGAAACTTGTTATGCCATCTACACAGTTCTTCGTCAGGAATATTTTAAGGTAAATATGGAATCAACCAAATGAACAAATCATATAAAATATTGTTTTTTTTTTTTTTTAAATTAATTAAAGAAATGTTTCACAAACTCAGAAAAACTTAAGATAGAAAAAACTTGAAAACTTGAAAAATAAATGATTGTGTCTTTGTAACATATGAATCTATTCTAGAAAAAATACCGATAGTTACGTTACATAGGCCTTACAAAATACTTAGGTACGCATATGACACATAAACCTATTCTAAAACAAAAGGTTTGATGGCACCTAACAGCTGCTTGGTAACTTATTACTAATAAGCAGTATCGTTAAAAGTCGAAAATAACTGAGATGCGGAAAGTTCTGCATAGATACTACGCAGGGGTTGTAATTCTAAATAAACAGTAGCGGAGCGCTGATGCTGATTATTAAAATTACTTGGTGGTGTCAATTGCCATCCTCTGAATAAGGAATTGCTTTCAGCTTCAAATAACACGTCATTAATTAGTTTTTCATTCATGATTCTTTGATTATCGGGAAGAGCTCTTAATTTCACGGCTACATTATCCCCAAAAATATCAAATCTATCCTTTTTACGCGCACTTTGTATTGGCTGATGCAACTTTTCATTGATTGTACGGAGAAGATCATCTCTGGGTTTCGGTGGTCTTCTCTGCCGTTTTTTGCTTAGAGATGTCGTTATGGAAGAAGTAGCAGTATTTCCTGATAGTGTCGTCGAGTCTTGAGATAACTGGGAGTCTTCTTCCATTTCCAGGGGTCTTGGGGATAAAACATTATCAGTTTGGCTGCTTTCTAGATCCAGTACCTAAAAATAAAATAAGAAATTAGTAGGGCTTATATGTAACGTTGTGAATTATAAAGATTTTTTACTGATTGAAGCTTGACTGTTTTTTAGTTTCCAAAAACAGAAGAAGACTGGAGGAGGATTGCAAAATCATTTGAAGAAATGTGGAATTTTCCCCACTGTTTAGGTACTATAGATGGGAAGCACGTTCGAATTAATCTGCCACCTCATTCAGGCCCTTACTATTATAATTACAAGGGATTTCACAGTATGGTACTTATGGCTGTAGCAAATGCCAATTACAAAATAATCTATTGCCATTTTGGAACTAACGGAAGAATTTCGGATGGAGGTGTCTTGAAAACCACGAAATTTTACGAGAAATTGATGTTTGGAAGATTAAATATACCTAAGCCAGAAAAAATAGAACATAGCGAACGAACTCTACTCTATATTTTTGTTGGGGATGACGCTTTTTCTTTAGGAGAAAATCTATTGAAACCATTCTCTCAAAAAAACTTAAGCAAAGAAAAAGCCATTTTTAATTATAGATTGTCAAGAACGCGTCGTATAATTGCAAATGTTTTCGGAATTTTGGCAGCTATATTACGAATATTTTATACGGATATTAATGTTAATCCGATCGCAATTGAAAAAATGGTGATGGCATGCTGCGTTATACATAATTATTTGCGTAAAAAAGTCCAAAGGTTTATACCCCTCAGCATCACTTGGATTATGAGGATTAAGAAACTCGAAAACTTACATTAGGGCTTCGGGTTACCTCAGATGATTTAACCGACCTGCAAAGGACTTCAAGCGCCAAAAATTCTTCACAGGTTGTAAAAATCACAAGAGAAAATTTTTTGTTATATTTTAATAATGAAGGGGGTGTTCTATGGCAGAATAAAGCTGTTAACATTTCATTTTTTTTATTTACTTACCTCTTCCTCGTCCGATAGATTGGAAACCGCTGCCCTGGGTACATCTTGATCATCAAGGAAAGACAGTAGCTCAAAATACCATAATTTTAGCTTGTAGATGTCATCAGTCCCCTGTCTAGATTTGCTTGATTTTTTTACTAATTTTAGTTCCCTTTTATACGATGTTCTGAAGTTGTTATTTTTTTTTTAACAAAATCTTCGTTGGCTTCTTTATGCACTTCTCGAAATTTTTCAACTAAAATGTCCATAGCCCTTCTTCGGGCATTTCTGTCATGATATAAATCACTCTTCACTTTCCATAGGCACTCGTGTTCCTTGTATAATTCGAAGAATTAACTCAAAAAACTTTCCGTATAGGCCATAACAGAACAGAAAATAAATTTTCGACGTTTCAACAGGTCGACCGGCCACATACGGATAAAAAAACCATCCAACCGACGCTGTCGTACTGCAGCAGCCAGACTTTTCTGTCTGCGGTCAAATCGTACAACTTTGTTGGATGCGCGTCCACTCACGATCAAATTACATCCGATTTGGTTGGATGCGACGAAATCGTTCGACCCCGCAGTATCGTGAGTGGCCGGCTTAAGATTAGCGAAATGATTGTTAATTATCTATGGTCAATTTGGCATTGCGAAATTAAAACAAAAGTGTTGCAAATCTAAGAAAACAACTAAAAAATACATTGACAAGTAATATTGAATTTGCAACATTATACCTATCATGCAAATATTTAAATAATTTCCTGTTTACTGCTTTAAGGAGAAAACTATCTTTAAAAATCTGAAAGAAACTAAAAGAAAAATGTATAATACAAAGATGCATGCGGGGTATTAGAAGTACGGATATACAGGGTGTCCGGGAAAATGTGGGAGGTCTCTCGGATTCAGATAGAACATTAAAAAATAAGATGACAAGTTACCATAAATTTTTTTCCTAGCGGCCCTCCCTAGAGAGATACGGTCTCCAAAAAGGACGCCTCTGGAAATCAATTTTTCTTTTCTTGAATAACTTTCAAACTACGTAATATAATTTAATGAAAATTTAATATGATAAACAGTAGTAGGAATATACTTAAATCGTCCTGTACAATTTGCAATACTTTTCTATTTTTTTAAAAATGCAAATATACGAATTGTTGATTTTTGTTAATTTTTCATGGCTCCGGACGTTGTCCAAATTTGCCAGATTGTTAAGAAAAACAATAATAACATTTACAACCAATTTTCAAAATTTATGCATTTTTTTTTATAAAATTATAGGAAAATAAACAATTCATTTATTATTTAAAAAAAATATATTTTCGTGTAAAATAAATGTTTGCAAATTAGAATAGCTAATCCAAAAATTTGTATGAGTTAACCCATCGGTATGCAGCACTTTTGCAATTTTTTTATCAATGATATAAACAAAAACGCTATTTATCAATAAAAAATCATGTTCTGCATTTTTAATCAAGCTGCAAATCTAATATAATGTTGAAAATAATACAATATAAAATATATTTCTTCATGTTTGTAGCACTTTTGCAATTTTTTTCTCAAAATTATAAACAAAAGCGCCATTTTACTATAAATTAACTAGTTCCGGACCTTGGAAATGGTTGCAAATTTAAATTTAGTGTTATTTAAACTAGCCGATTATTATTAGAAAGTTTGAAAACTTTTGTAATTAATATGAAATTTTCAAAATAGTATGTCTTTATTGACTGGCTGTAAAACTAGAAATAAGTGGTTATTTTCAGAAATTACATTTCTTAATTTTCTTATTTACAAGTTTTTTAAAGATTAAAGCATTCTTTTTCACTTCCAGAAATAGCACACACGTTATAGTTTAAAAGTTAATTTATAAGCTCTTAAGTCGTAAATTTGAGTATAGAAATTTTAATTTACAGTCAGATTTTACGTTCTATAATTTATTATTATTTATCCAGCTTATAAATAAATCTGCATTATTGCTACCAAAAAATATTTTAAAAAATCGTTCGTCTTTACATTTCTTAGAAGATGTTTCTTCCATTTCGAAACAATGACATCATTCACGTTTATCCTTCAAATATTTGACTTGGTTATCACTCAAGCCATCGTTTTTAAACGAAAAACTGTTAGCAAGTGATCAGACAACAATAGTTACACAAAAAATAATAAACTTATTATTGGAACTTGGAAGTTGAACCGGAATCTATTTTTGAATAAATTCGAGTATTTATATAAGACATGTGAAACAAAAAAAATCAAAAGTTGTTTAGATTAAGAGTTAAAATAAGTCTATCGAGTTTTTCATCAACTTGAAATTGTATACTTATGCTGTTTAAAAAAAAAACAATGGATATATCATCAATTAATTTTTGTTTTTGGGAATTTACCCACGTGGTATTCGGTAAACGGTGTGAAGGTAGTAGCCAAAAACTGGTAGCGCGTTTACAGAGTGCGTCCGAACAATACAGTTGCTCGTTAAAAAGGACAATACGTATGATTAATTCAGTTTTATATGTTAAGTGAAAACTGCGGTCGCGTTGTATTTTAAATGTAATTTTCCTTAAATAAATAAAGATGAAAAATTATACATTCATAATGAAAATTCTTAATATTCTTTTAAGTATACTTTTTAAAACAAACAGCAACTGGTCGAAATAAGAATCGCTTAGCGCCCTCTTAAGAGCAAACATGACGGGCGCTCCTCCACCAAAAATCAATTTTACATTTGAGGCAGTTAAAAAAAATTGTAAAAAAATGGTTCAGGCCAATCGTTCTAAAAATGAACCAAGAATGACGCTAAATCGCGAAAAACTTGTATTTTTAAAGAAAAACAACAAAAATTTCAACTTTTTAACAAATTTAATTTTTTGGCTCTTTAGCGTCATTCTATAACAAATATCTTAACTATTTTCTAAATAACTTTTTTTCAAAAAGATTACCAATTTTAAACAAGACCGAAGATTAACATAGTTTCATTCCGATACTAATTCTATTAAAACAATGATACCAGTGAATATGGCAACGCTGCTAGTCTATGAAGCGCATAGTTAAAAGGGTAGCTGTTGTTTAGTTAAATTTGTTAATTCCTGTGTCGAAAAATAGGTAGTGTTTTTGAAGAGGTGCGAAATTATTGTGATCGTCTTAGTTTCTCGTTGAGGCGTTGTTAGGTTTTTGTTTAAATTCGTTTTTAGTTAATTTATGAAATGAAATATTCTGGAAGGCAAAAATGCTACCACAGCTGACACATTTCTATTTTAATTGTTTGCTGCCAGAGTTAGTAAATCCTAGAGAAATACGACATGTGCCAATTAGGGAAAAAGAGATTCTAAATACATGCGACAAAATTCAGGAGGTGATTGCTCGTATGAAACTAAGATGGGTCTTTCCTATAACAAAATTTCCTCAGGCCACCTCTTTTCGAGATATCAACCTTAAAAGGTGGTGACTAAAATTGAGTTTTTATTTTTTTTTCTAAAATTTCAGTAAAGCTAGAAACTTGAAATTCTGTAATCGCAAAGGACTAACCACGGGTATTTTTTCAATATTTCTGTTACATTATAGGGGGGTGAAACACTATTTCATATCAAAACTTTTTTCGAGATGAACTTTTATGAAATAAAATTATAACTTGAAATCCTTGTTTTATTTAATTTTTTTTTATTCTTCAATTTTTTTCCCAAAACCAATAGCTTCAGAGAAAAAAAAATAACACCCTAATTTATAATTTTTTTTTAATAAATTGAGTGGAAAACAGTATTTTTTTTCTATGAAGCTATTGGTTTTGGGAAAAAAATTTAAAAATAGAATTTTTTTTTAAATAAAACAAGGATTTCAAATTACAAAATTATTTCATAAAACTTCATCTCGAACAAAAATTTTGATATGAAATAAAGTAAGGGTTGCTAATTTCACCCCCCTATAATGTAACAGAAATATTGAAAAAATAACTGTGGTTAGTACTTTGCGAGTGCACGAAAATAACAGAATTTCAAGTTTCTAGCTTTACTAAAATTTAAAAAAAATAGAAACTCAATTTTAGTCACCACCTCTTAAGGGTGATATCTCGGAAAGGGGTGGGCTGAGGAAATTTTGTTATAGAAAAGACCTATTTTAATTTCATACGAGCCACCTCCTGAAATTTGTCGCATGAATTTTTAAACACCCTGTATGTTGGTATATTAAGGTGAATGCAGCAGCCTTTATAATTTTCGGACAAGGACATTTCAAAAAGTAATTTTGTTAAATAATTAAAATTTTGGCAAAATAAATTAGGTAATATGATATGCCTATATTTTAAAGTTATAATTCCTTTCAGTTTCCGAGAAAAAAAATCAAATATGATAATGAAAATAAATGCATTCCTCAGAGATGGGTCGAATACTGAAATCCGGTATTCGAATACGAATCCTGAATACTGTATTCTAAATTGTATTCGAATAATCAATATTCGAATAAAAAGAAAAAAGTATTTGAATACCGCTGTATTCGAATACCTGGATTCATTCACATATGAATACTTTATGAATATTCCAACTACAAATAACATGTGCGCACATAAAGCTTGATTATTATTTATGTATTTCATTTATAAAAATATAAAAAGAATTTAAAATCTATATTAAATAAAACTTGAAATATCATTTTTTGATACACAGTGTCACAGTGAGGTTAAATAAAATAACTGTTTAGTAAAAAACATTTGTTGATTTTTATTTCTTAAAGTTTTATTAAAACATAAATAAAACGATAAAATAATGAAAAAATTCAAATAAAATTATTTCGTACACCGTCAGATAAAAACACAAACTTAGTGTTTAATAAAAAATAAACAATTCCCATTACCTATAACCTATACCCTACAACCTACTTACTCATACAGGGCGTTCCACGAGATACGCCTCGGACCATATAACTCCATAACGGTGCAATTTTCGAAAACTAATTTTAAAAGATGGCTTTTTTGAATATACATAAAAAAGGACTCTTACAAAAATTTTGAAAATTGCACCGTTATGGAGTTATGGTCCGAGGCGTATCTCGTGGGACACTCTGTATAATAAATAAAACTTAAAATACATTATTTGGTACATTAATTGGAGATTGGAACACAGTAAGGTAACACAATAGAATTGCTTAGCAAAAGAAGCTATCCTTGAAAAATAATCTTAAATAATAAATTAATAACTTAAAATAAATTCTTTTTGTTTTAAATAAAATATAATATAACATTCATAACGACGCACTAGTACTTGGATATCAGAAAGAAAACATCAATAAAAAAGCATTTCCTATCCCGTTTGCCTTCAACAAAACCAACATTTCAAAAAGATCGTCACTTAAATTTTGACGTTTTGGCGTATTTACCATACCCGCAAAAGAAAACAATCGTTCGACTGGAGCAGACGACGGTAATATTTGTTTAATTGAAGGTTAATCATTTAGCATTTCCAAACCTAATCTTTTATCTTTAAGATATTGCAAGTTGAATTTTTCCTTATAGTTTATCCCTATTATCCCGAGAAATTAAATCGCTATTTTTTTCAGGATTTTCCTCACTTTCAAATTCGAAAAATTTAATATCATTATTGGACGTTGATTCTTCTCCATTAAAATCTGGTTTTTGAATATCTATTTGGAGTTCCACACCAGCATCAATAATAATATGTTTTAATTCCTCAATGTCTAATCCAAACTGCGATGAAATGGTTTGTGATAGCCACCTAAATTTAATAGTCGGACAAGTTGCTGCTGCAATTATTGCATCTTTTGCTTCGATTTTTGTAAGGTCAAAGTACTGCTCAAATCTGTCATTGACGCAATTAATTATGTGTTCTAAAATTAAGCTGGTACTCCTATTAAGGGTCATGCTTGATTTAACTTTAATCAGTTTTGTTAAATAACCCACATATTTGTGTCTCCTTGTAGAGGACTGCGACTGCGCCGTCCACAATCACCGAGAACGTATTTTAATACGCTTAAGTTCAGTTAAACGTAACACGTTACGCAATATTCATAGAAATAATCAAACAGTATTCGAATACCGGGATTCGAATACAAAGTGGGTATTCGAATACTAGGATTCAAAAATGGTATTCTAAATCCAAAATACAGAGTACTGACTAAAAAAGTATTCAGTCGAATACCGAATACAGAAAACACAAATGTATTCGAATAGTATTCGAATACCAGCCAAATGTATTCTGAATAAGATTCAGAATACCGGGTATTCGAATACTACCCAACTCTGGCATTCCTCAACAGCACTATTCTTAATATAATCCCGAAATTTAAACTCTTAATGTCTTGGTAATGATATTTTAAAATTCGCCAAAATTAGAGGCTAAAACGCCTCCGTAAGTGCTATCTTCTGGTATAAACTGGTGTAAATTGTTGCAAGAAACGAATAATGACAGAGTGTACGATACGATAGTTACAAGCGCGTTACACCAGAAGGCAGCACTTAACACACAAGGTGGTAAAGCATTATCGCTAAATATACATAAAAAAATGAAGAGTTTGAGGATTTTCTCATGGGCCCAATTATTAGATTTTGACCAAATTTATATGGAACCACCCCTGAAGTACCCCCTTTCTAACAAAAAAAGAATCATTGAAATCGGACACCGTGTTAAAGAATTATCGCTGAACATACATAAAAAAAATTAAAAAAAAATATTGCGACGAATTGAGAACCTCCTCCTTTTTTGAAGGTTAAAAATAGGAGTAAAAGTTTATATAAACATAGGTCCGAAAACGTTTCGTTTTCGAGATACAGGGTGTTACAAGTGAAGTCCAGATGGCACATTTTTGTAAATATTTTCTAAAATTTCTTTAGTTACCGGTTTTCCAAAGTTAAAAAAAAATAAAATTTCTGATTCTACAGACCTGCTAATTATTGTTTACACTTTCGAATAAGGTAACATGCTTTTCTCTTGAAAATGGCGCGTCCTAGCGAGATGCAACAAATGCAGCTTTATTATACAGAAAATATTGGTTTTCCAAATTTTATAGTCAAAAATGTTAAAAACTATCAAGAAAAAAAACTTAGAGCAATTTTACCCTAAGCTCCCCCTAATTTACCCACCTAAGATGATCAAAAACTGGGGTTTAGTCCAATAAATGGAGCGTTAAAAGGTAAGTATTTGTACCAAATTTTACCTAATTATCTTTAAACGTTTAGAAAATATTTACAAAAGTGTGGTATCAGGACTTCACCTTTAACACCCTGTATCTCGGAAAAGAAACGTTTTCGGACCTATTTTTATATGAACTTTTACTACTATTTTAGGATGTAGATTACGTTGTTAAAATATGACCGTCTAATTTCGGGACACCCTGTATATCATCTATAACTATCAATAAATAAGAAATATTTGAGTTGTTTGGTTTAAAAATAGTATTCCTACATTTCTATAATATTAACAAGTCACTAAACCCCCAGTAGGCGGCGATAGCCAACGAATTACTTCGCCAATTGATGATATATACCTGTGTTCATGTAATTGTAATCGGACCTTACCCAATCCTATGATTATTCTTCAGCGCACGACAAACGACATTGCCAAATTTATGTAGCGAACAAGGTTCCAAATACTTTAAGGGGAGGTCGTTAGATCCGTGCGGTGTGACGTCAGAAGGGACTGGATTGCTCTTAAGGGGTAACAATAACACCCAAATTACAGAAAACATTATTTTGCACAGTTAAAAATGAGATATCAAATTAGGAAATAATACCAAGTATACCTACTTTCTAATACAAACAGTTACTTGCCAAAAGCAAAATCGCTTGGCACCCTCGTAAAAACAATTATTTGACCCAGGCAAAAATGAGATATCAAGTTAAGAATGATATCAAGTATACTTTTGTATACCAAGAGTTGCCGGCCAGAAATAGAATCGCTTAGCACTCTCATAAGGGGTAGTAGCAATCACACCTCCATTTAGGAAAATCACTTACGAAGGAGCCGCTGTACATTTGGCAAAACTCACAAAAACGAGTACGGAAATTTGAAATATAGCCATTGTCATTTGAACTCTCTAGTCCACGTTGCGGCCAAATTTAATGTAAACAAACGGTATATTTCTATTCAAATCTTTGGTACGAATCCTGGTAATACTTGACATGTTTTTGTTTCAGGTGGTATGTCGGATGGCCCTGAATGAACGTCAGCGGCACCGTCGGAGGCGTCGTCGCATCTCCACCGGCTGTCGGAGCGGAGCTCCGGGCAGCGGCCGCACGAGGTGATGTATTGGCATGCAAAAGGCACCTGGGGGCAGCGCGGTTGGTGCGGTTCTCCCGCGACGAACACGGACGTACCGCTCTCCATTTGGCGGCGGCCAACGGGCACCGTGACGTGGTTGGGTTACTGCTCTCAGTCGCTGCCCCCAGGGAAGTCGATGTACCGGACGGAGCAGGGTGTTCGGCGCTGCAAAGGGCGGCCGCCGAAGGACACGAAGAGGTGATAAGGCTGGTTTTGGCTAGAGGAGCGGAGGTGAACGGTCAGGACAGTGTGGTGAGTTATTCTTTTTGATAGTTTAATAGTTTGATAAAGTGAATTAAGTACCAAATGAGACACCCAAGCTTAATATACAGTATGCCTTTAAAATATATGCACATACGAGGGGTTAACCAAAAGAAACCTAACTGATGTTGTGGGGGATGGAATTTTTGTAATACCAGGTTTTGACGGCCAGTCCAATTTTCGTCTCTATATATTGTAACAGGTTGCATTCGGTTTTAGTAGTGTTACGGTTCAAATTCAAAAGAAATACTGAGACGCTCTTACTATGATAAATAAAATAGTATTGACTTTTAATTAGTTCAAATTCATGATTTTTAATAAAATCTATTAAAAGAACATTCGGTATACTAGTTTTGAGTAGAAGTTTCTTTTAATGATTCAAGATCCATCCTCATGTTCTATGTGTTAACTAGAATAAAAATATACCTTAATACTTACATTGCCAAATTGATTGCAAAAGAAGTTTAACGTTTTGTACGATACTTCTTCAGTGCTATGTAGATCCGTTCTGGTTTTCTGTATTATATATTCTTCAATATTTCCTCGAATAATTTGTAGTTAGGTTCTAGAAGTCTAAAAGAAAATAGAAACGATTTGAATTAGATAAGTGGTTTCAGGTTTAAATTATTTTATTTACATTTATAATGACATTATGTCATTCACTTTAGACAGCTATTTTATAATTTGGATATTAAATAATTTAAACCCCAGATAATCTGGAAATTTTTGGAATTAGGTTGGTGATTGTGTCATGTTTTAATATTACTTCCTGTGGAGGTAATTTTTGTTAATTTGTTCATGCATATCCTGTCACCATTTCTTTTCTGGTACACCTTCTAGAAGTATGTGTTTCTGAAAGACTTTTTAATAAGGATTTAGCGCTAGAAAAGAAGAACTGATTGAAAATATATACTTTTTCCATTTATTGGTAGAACAAGTAAACTGGAGAGAGGATTTTATTTTTAATAAAACAGTAAAATTGACATCAAGTAAGGCCACACTTCAATTTCAGGTAACGTACTCTCATATTCATCCCTTATTTACTTTTCTTAATATTCTATGATATTTTGGTTTAAGAACCTTCTTCTGGATACGTCTATAGGCTCCCAGTTACTACAGATAACTTTAACCATACCTAAAAATAAACAGAGGACGATATTCTGAAGAAGCCTTTGATACAAGCCCCTGTATGTAGCAATATCACCATCTCTAAGATAAAACTATTTTAGCTTATTAGAGTCACTGCAGCTAGAGCTGATCAAAGAACTGAACTGATAATATTCTCACCTTCAGTGCTCAGGAATGTAAAAAATTGTACATATTTATAACGGAACTTTCCTTTTTTTATTTAATGGTACGAGGGTGGATCAGTAAGTACCCGTGTTTGAAGGCAGGTGGCTTTGCTGAGGGAAGTTGGCATTACTGTCGTGTACGTACTGTCATATGTCACACGACACCATATTAAATTTCAAACTGATTGATAGGTTGGTTTTTATTTGGCAGGCACTTGTACCATACGTGTTTCGCATTAATCGATAAAATGGAAAAAGAACAATATCGATCTGTAATTCACTTTTTATTTTTGGATGAAAAAACATGCGATGAAATAAAAGCAAAGTTGGATGTTGTCTATGGGGACCCTTCACCATCTATGACAACCGTAAGATATTCGTTCAACGAATTTAAACGTGGTCGTACATCTATTTTTGATGAAGAGCGACCAGGTCGCCTGGCAGACGTTGTTACCGAGGAAATCGTTAGAAAGGTCCAATATATGATTGTCGCAGATCGCCGAACGAAAGTGCGAGAAGTAGCAGAGGCCGTAGGCGTATCATACGGAACGACAATTAATATTTTGCATGATAAGTTAAAGATGAGAAAGGTATCGGCCCGATGGGTGACGCGATTGCTTACGGTGGACAACAAGCGGATTACGGCTGTCAATGTCGAAGCAGTTTTTGGAGCTCTTTAATCGAAATTCGCAGGAGTTTTTGCATCGAGTCGTCACCGTTGATGAAACCTGGATACATTATACGCCAAAGACCAAACGACAGTCGAAGCAATGGATTTTTCGGGGTGAATCTACTCCGAAGAAAGCAAAGACGGTCCCATCGGCCGGAAAGATCATGGCCACGATTTTTTGGGATTCCAAGGGAATAATCCTCATCAGATTTTGCAGAAAGGAAGTACGATCACAGGGCAGTACTATAGTGAATTATTGGACCGATTCGATGCAAAATTGAAGGAGACACGGCCTCATTTGGCTAAGAAAAAGTCCTAATTCACCACGATAACGCACCAGCACATTCATCGAGAATTGTCGCGGTCAAATTGCAAGAACTGCAGTACGAATTGCTGCCGCACCCACCGTACTCGCCCGACTTGGCTCCATGCAACTTTTTTCTGTTCCCCAACATGAAAACGTGGCTCAGGGGAAAAAAATTCAGCTCTAACGAGGAGGTTATCGTCGAGAGCGTATTTGGCGGATATTTTTTGGAGGGGTTAAATAAATGGCAGAAACGTTGGGAAAAGTGTATAGCACTAAAAGGAGATTACGTTGAAAAATAGAAATAATTTTTTTTGAAAAACTTGCCTCTTCCTTTCTAACATGGATACTTTTTGATCCACCCTCGTATATATATATTTAAACCATTGTGAACCTACGAAATAGATATCTATTTAACCGGTATTTATGCTGTACATTTGGAGAGTTACCATTTTAAAAGAAACATTTGAAATAAAAATGTTTTTGGTAAACCACGCTATACATATTTTTTTTAAACAGACATTCATAACCTCAGATTTAGATTATTTAAATCTTCTCTTCATTAATAAATTTATTTTTGGCCTAAGGTGGCCGAATAGGTAGCACACTGACTCGTTTGTCAAAACCTACGACCTACTCACATGAGCTAGCTGCTGGTGAAAACTTGATGTTTTTTAAAATTGGGAGAAGTATTCCCTTGGCTTTTGTTCACGTGCACCTGCTATGGGTAGCAAATTCGGCGCCCAACGTGGGGCTGAATCTAAATGAATACCTTTGATATTTAATATGCGTTATTGCCATAATCGTACCATTATTATTCATTATAATGTTAAAAGAAATTAAAATTTCAACGCGTAATCAGCATTCCATAAAGTGCATTCGTTAGATCCGGAGATAACTCGAGTAAAAATATCACATTCCACCGTATTTAGTAGACAATGAATACCAATAACAAAGCTCGACGGAAAGGAAAATAAAAAAAATATCATATTTATGTGTGTATATCATTTGTTATTGTTTCGATTGCCACCGTGAAACACAAAAAAATTAATGTTAACTTCCAAAGCGTACTCAAAATACAACACACGAGCTGAAAATAGCCAGAGATATATAGCTTTTAGAGGACCTTGAAGTCAGTAATAAGTTATTCTTACAAATTGTTAACCGAACGAACAGAAATATAATTAACCCTGATTAATTTTGTAAAACATTGAAAGAAATATTGTCCAAGTATTGCTTTTGGGTTATTGGGTCTAGGTTGAGACTATTTCTAGATGACGCTCTTCTTTATTGATGTATACATCATTAAAACAGCAGTATACACAATTAGATGTTTTATGATTTAGGCGTTAGAACAATTTTTTAAACAATCTTCAATTAATGGTTTACTTTACTAAATAGAGAATGAAATGTTACTTTTACTCCATAAAAGTGTTTCCAAGACAAAGCACCTCACTGTAATACAGAGTTTTCAACGAAAGCAATGAAAGGTAGAATTAAATTTAACTGAAAATTTTACACCTCTATTATATAGCCAATCAACTGATTTTATTTTACAACGTTTTCATGACAACTAAAAACATTTCCGAAAACTTTTTTCTTGGAGGGTACCCTGCACGATATTATAGTGAATTTTTTTTGTTATTTGAGTGGCGCTTCTATTTTAGAAAATAAAAGTTGATAATTTGTGTCTTTATTAAAGTTAAAATAATAATTGGATTTTTCGCGTGGATTAAGATTAAACGAATAACCAACTTTGCAAATTTAATTTTAGGCATTTTAATTCATGGTTATCAAGTTTTGAAATTTCAGTGTAAAATTTAAAATTTCTTAAAATTTTCCAGAACTAATTTAGGCACTAGTGGTATTATACGTGAAATATTTCACGCCACCAATGTATAACTTACGTACCATTGGATTTTTCACATTTTCTGTAGGTATGCCATAATTTTAGGCTAATATTATACCATAAAAAAATTTCCGCTCCTTTTATTTATAGAAAAATTAGTTTTGGATTTTTTAAATTTTACTAGCGCCATAATTTTAGCCTAAATTTTATAGAAACTTTAAAAAATTCCGCTCCTTTCTTTATAGAAAAAATTATGTACTCTTCTGGATTAACAGGCAATTATTACGTTTTTCATTAAACAATTCTGCAATATAAAAATGATAACTGCCAAATTTTAGGCTCATTTTAGGCTAATATATACTAACGTAAAAACAATCCACTTTTTCTTTCTTTTGGTAAAAATTAAGTGCTCTGCTGGTTGACAATACGAGTTTATACAGTTTTTCGTTAATAAAATTGAGGAAACTGAAAAACAGACACGGCATAAATTTAAGCCCATTTTAGGCTAATTCTATATGATCATAAAAAATTTCCACTCTAGCCTTTATCTCTATAAACTCACATTGTCAAGTGGATCTAATTATTCCAAAAAAGACAAGAACGGAATATTTTTATGTTGGCTTATAATTAGCATAAATCGAGCCTAAAATACCATGCCCATTTTTTAGTTTCTTCAATTTTTTGAACTCTATAAACTCGTATTATCAAGCTAGCATAGCACCTAATTTTTCCGATAAAGGCATGAGCGGAAAACATTTTATGTTGGACCAACATAAATTTTTTTTGTAGTTTTGTAGTTCGGGAAATTTTGTCTGAAGGACTTCACAAGAAGCAAAATATACTGCTTCTGGTCTTCATCTAGGGTCAGTATTTTGT